CGCCTTATTTTGAAGCAGGAAATTGATTATGGACTCTAACGGATCCGCTCTAGGCAGGCAACCTTACCGCTGATATATGTATGTGTAGCTTGGTTGTTGATTAGGATGTGAATTTGATTTATAGTTAATTCACTTGAAAGGTCTCTTGGGTCTTCTCAATAAACTCTTGTCGTAGAAGAATTTGAATGCACAATGCAACACCGCTCTGAATGGTTATCGTTGAAATTGCATTGAACAAGCAACCAAAAATTATTGCCCAATTCATCCGTTCAAAGTTCACTGACAACGTGTCTGTCCATTTTTTAAATCTCATTCAACTTGATTAAACTCAGTCATATTCACTTTTTTACGACTGGAAAAAACAGATTCTCTTAAAGAATTTTTCAAGAATTCATTCTGATTGATTGCTCAAATGAAGCACTGCAAATGATGTGTTTTCACAAGATTTCTAATTGAGCTTCGAACGACTGATTGTGAGTTTCTTTTGCGAGTTTATATCGACAAATGAATTGAACAGCTCAAGTATTCACAAGTGTGTTGACATTATAAATGCTTCATCTTGGCATTTATATTTAGAGTGCTTGAAAACCGCTAGTAATGATCAGTATCCGTTCCGTTTCAAGTGGGGTGTCGCAAAATGTGGTGGGTGCACTTCAGATGACTTTTGCGCAGGAAATCGCTGACTTATTCATAAATCTTTCGTCGTTATCAAACTGACTTCGGTTAAAACCGTACGACTGCTCATTATCTGCAGTTTGCGAAATAAACTAATGTTATGATGGAAAGGCAATAACCTCAATAAAGAAAACTGTTTCATCGATGAGTTTGTCTCATTTTGTTGAGCACGTTTCAGAGGAACGTAAAACAAATTTCATTTCAGGAATTCGATCCGAACGAGTTCAATTCAACCGGAGAGCCACTTTTAATTGCTGTGATGAAGTACTTGGAGAGCAGAGAAGATCGCGTGGGTCTTTTAACAAAAAACAATAATGCACTTTATATTGCAATAATTATTAATTGCAACTATCAAATATTCATTGACGATTCTCATAAAATTGGTATAACAGAACTCACACTGCATATGGCTTAATCCACCCACAATATTGGATTTCCGCAATACAGCAGTTCATGTGCAACCTTAATGTGTTGTCGTATAAAAACTGCGTTGAAATGATCGTTTTCATTAAGTAATTTTGAGGGGCGTTGTGATTTACGATGTAATTTTTTGTCTGTTTTCGAGATTTATGCTCATCTTGAATTGAGTAGAGATTGATCGAAAATTATTGCGAAGATCAATGCGTTTCTGGCTGCTTCCTGTTATGAATTTGTTTTGCACGAGTATAAGCGAATGTCTGTTCGGTCACTTGAATGCTCACTATTCGCACTTTAGCAAAAGTGATTTCTGATTTGATTACAGTTGAAATACCTCAAATTGCTGTTGGACAATGGTGCAAACGTGAATGAGCAAGATTTGCGTGATGGGCGAACAGCGCTCATGTTTGCATGCATGGAAGAGTCACGACTTGACGAAGGCAAACTTCTGATGCGAACGGTTAAATTTCATTAATACATCAATTCAATGACTGAATGCCACCACTTGATGTGTCACTCAAAAATCACAAGCTTCCTTGTTGCTTCCGTAGTCAGTTCAAGGATATGCGACATCCACATATTTTATTCCTTTTCATCAAACCAGTGAACTCATTCAATGAATCGCTTGACAGCTCATTGCGTAACAGAGATTTCATGACAGACGAAAGTATTTTGACAATGAAAGCATCACGACTGATAGCTTATAACTTGGGATGATAATGTTCCATGTGAGAGAAACGTACCGAGCTCATATAATGCAACATTTCACGTGAATACTGTCACCAAGCATTATAGCATGTAAAAATATGCCATCGTTGAAAGAGCAAAAAAAACACTTCCTGAAATCCTTGAAATCATGAAATTGAAACTGCAATCCCTGAAACTTATTGTGACACTCTTGAATTTCTTTTCATAAAACATCTTCTTAACGCATAAATCATACATTGAATGTGGACTATCGAAGCTATATGATCATGTTCACATGAATTTTGTGGGATTGTAACCTTGTTCTTATTCCGTATTGTTTTCATGCGATTTTACGGCGACTCCTTTGAATAGATGGTTGTCTTGTGTGATTTTTGTTAACGTTAAGATTTTTGAAGCAAGCGAACTGCTGGAAACAAATTGCGATATTTTCAGAAAGGTTGCAGTTTCCAAGTGCAGGATCGTCTGGGCAATACAGCGGTGATGTATGCGGCAATGAAAGGTCGTGAGGATCTCATGATTGAAATGGTTACGGAACTATCGAAGGTATCAAATGAAATGTTGCGGTTTCGGATGATATCGAGCATAGAGCACTTTCTAAGGCACCTAAAGACTACTCTTCCAAGCATGCAAATGAAATCTTTCCAGTAAATTTCTCACGTTTGAGTCTAAAAGTAAACAGATAAATACCCGATCGAATGCATGAGGAATGGATGGATTTCTTGGAACCATATGAAACATTAATCATTTCATTGAAGAACTTAGGTGTCTGAACTTCAAGCAATCAATGAACATTCCATGTGATACTGACGACATGAATATAATCTACAAACACGCACTTTCATATTCGTGCTCTTTTTTAGAACATTTTTATTGGATTTTCATGCTGTTTCTATTAGTCACAACCGAATGTGGTCTCTGGAACGATTAAGCCGCTTTCAGGGTTGGGGTTTATCGGTACTGCAAATGAAGAACTGTATGGGTAATACGGCTGAGGATTTGGCAATCCGAAATAGTCATCATCGATGTGCGAGACTGGTTCAAGCTCAGGTAGGTTCTCCAAGTTCGCTCACCAGACTTATCATTTGCTGATGCGGATCAAAAGTTGTGTGTTCACAGATCAATGTTGTGAATCACGAATATTGCACTGAAAAGCGTCTGTCTTATCCCCGTAACGGATCATTATCTATTTCGCATATTGGTGACTTTGTTTCTTCTTCAGCTACCGAAAAATGCTTCAGTGAAGATGTCTAATTCCTTCAACTTCATTGAAGCGGCCAATGTCCAGTGTCTAATCCACCACCTAACAACCCCTTCCTTCAAACTTATTTTACTGATGAGTTCCAATCTTTCTACAGTTGCTGCATTTTTTATCATTAGTAATCGAAAGTGCGTGGTGATCGTTTCCTCGAGAAGTTTTCGTCTGCAAATAGAGTAAATGCATGCATTATCCAACTGTGTAGGGTTGTTTTTTACAGAGATTGCACATGTTGTCATGTCTGAACAGACAGATGGATATGGTCGGTCGGTTGGGATCAAAACAATGGGTCACCTATACGACACTCTACAAATGCATTGACAAGTTAGTTCGTTGCATTCACTATTTCCCAGCCGGAATCATTCAGAAGATTGTCACTTCATACCAAAAATGAATCATTTTATCGTCAGTTAGTGTTCGATGAGGACTGGAATGAAATGTTATGCGGAACAGTAGAACAATTCAAGACTAATCGCAAAAAGTTGCGCCTTCAGATGGAAACCACGTCCACGAAGGAAGTCAGTTGACGCAAGGTTTTTGAGTGTTCATCAACGGGAACGAAAACAGTCAATGTGAACGAATGATGCATTCAAGATTTCTGGAAACAGTTCGATCTCTTTTCAGTTGCAGCGATTTGATGACAACGTTAATTCGGATTTTATTTTTGTTTTGTTTTCAATTTTTTGCTCTCTGATCTCCTTTTATCTTTTTGTGTACATATTTTGTAAATCGTAATTGTTTGCTGTTTCTTGAAGCTTTGTCCAACTGCTGAGACTGCAATAAATCGGTTGAAATCACGCCATGCGACATCAATTATACAATCGTGATATTATAAAGTTAATTTCTTAACAACAGCCATAGCTGTTGAATAGTTGCTACCAACACAACATAATTACATCATCCTAATAGCAAAATGGCGAAAACGACTGCCAATTACTGAAATGGAAATCAGGGCTGATGAATGAATGCTTCAAGCAGATTGATGAGAAAACCAAAATTATCATCGAGTGCGAGAAAGCAGTACTTGAATACTGCCTGTTTTTTTGGGATAATTAAACGTTTGTAGAACACAACAAACGTACTCATTAGAAAAGTGAGAGATGCATGATGTATTTTGCTATAATTATGTGAAAATCCAAAATAATTAACCCATCGCATCCTATTCGCATTTTTTAAGCGAGATAACACAATTAACGACAATGTTGTTAAATGAATACGTCTAGGAAACCAAAAAAAAATGATTCGTCTTGCACGAATAAAATAAATGTTCGATGCTTTATCGAAAGTCGAGCGTAAGATCGGAACATCGCACACTCTGATACGTGTTCAATGCTGCTTTTGAAAACTTAATTGAGATATTGGTATATGATTGTGGTTTAGGCAATAATGATGATGATAATATGAACTCATTTATCGTTCACAATATAAAATGCACACTTTCTATTCATAAATGCATAATTACAATTATGTATACATCATAACTGATATCGAAAATCTTCACGAAATGATCAAATGCAATCGAAGAACGCCTCCATTATCATTAGCAACATTTTTTCCTTACAATTAGCAACTTCAGTCCTGACTCCGAAAATTGTGGCTGATTAGTTGACATTCTAGTTTGCGTATGAAATTTTATGAATGACCAAAACAATGAAGCATTCATCGATTTCTGATTCTTTGTATGGATTCATTCGAATGCTCTATTCACAAATCATCAACGACTCGTCGTCGAAGCGGTCCAATCAGTAATTTGAAATATATGTGGAGAAATTTGATACGAAAAAACTTTTTTGAGTGTTAAGTTGGCCTTTAATCCCCAAAAACGAAAGGTTTTCGCCTGGGTTCAACAACCCAAATTGATAGGAGGACGATTCGTAATCATGTTACCGACCCAATTTTTCAACTCCTCTTATATGGTACATATTCGACACGTTCGTTCGTTCGCCTAATAATGATTATTTGCACGTCTCGACTGCCAATAGTCTGCTGCTGGTGATAACGATGTGATCGTCTGTGAACCACCCAAAACACTGCCAGGTCGGGGTGGCTGCTCGAAAACTTGTTGCTCAAACACTGGTATTGCACTGTTCGAGCTTATGCGACTCGATTGAAGCTGGGCATCCTAAACAAAGCAATTATTGCGAATATGATTCATTCACATTTCTTTCTGAAGTTATCAGATATCTTTCACGGTAACAAATCCTTTTATTTTATATTTGCTCCTGTCTGTTCGCCTTCACGGATTGCTTCGTATAAGCCAAATGTGGTGATCTTATTGCCTTATGAAACATCATAACTGATATCGAAAATCTTCACGAAATGATCAAATGCAATCGAAGAACACTTCCATTATCATCAGCAACGACATTTTTTCCTTACAATTAGCAGCTTCAGTTCTGGCTTCAAAAATTGTGGCTGATCAGTTGACACTCTAGGTTACGTTGACACTATAAACTAAAAAGTTAACTTCTTATAAATTTCTCCTCAGCTAAAGGTTAGCTGAGGAGAAATTTATAAGAAGTGAACTTTTTAGAGGACGCATCAATTTAGTCAGTATTGTTTGGATGAGATGATTCGTGCATTTGAAGATGCGTGAAGGTTATTCTTGCTTTAATTGTTATAAATTTTTAACAAGTTACTCGAAAATGCAAAGCAAAATGTCGCACGAAAACGGGAAACACGACTACGGCGGATCTAATGCAAAATTGCACTCTTCAAGGGATGGAGACAAATTGTTGCATGACTTCATGTAACTAATCATTCGCTGAACAGAGCGTCAACGAGTTTCAGTCACCATGACGTCGTCGAATGAACGTTAAACGGATTGAAATCGATCCACACAAATTGCATTACCCTCATTTTTTTCAGCGCGTAAAGTTGATTTCGTTGCCATATTTCGTGGTCGTCTGCGCCCGGTACAACGCTATGCTCATGCGAGTCTTTTGCAAAGAACACAAACGTGGTAACCAACACACCGGCCAACTGAGCGAACAATAAGCAAAGTGTCGCAAAAGCAGCCAAATAGAATGAATAACCGTATTCCTTCTGAAATTGCAACCAAATCATCAACAGAGCATTCGGAAGTTTAAGACACCGTCAGCCCTATCGATTATAAAGCTTATTATGAAGACTTAGTTAGCAAATTCTTGATCCCAATTTCAAATCATGAGGTCAAATTCACTGCTATAAACATATTTTTTCTTCCACACACCAAATTGCTGATGCTTTCATGACATACTGTTCACGTTTGAAAACAACTACTTTTCAACTTGGATGGATTGAGAGGGAAGGTAACAAGGTATTCCATCTGAAACCATCGTAGACGTAATGTGATTCGAAGATATGGATGGTTGCTGGCATAAAGGAACAATCTATAGGTCGCCACTTACTCTGAATGTGTTCTTCACACCAATCAAATATCTTGCTTCGAGCATCTCGGCATTAATCACGAAGACGGCAAGTGCAATCGACAGAAACATAACTGAAAACATCCACATTCCGGTAGAGCAATTAATGATGTTTCAGCCTTTGTCAACATCATTCAGTTATTATCGCTATGTTATGTAGCTGAATTCGTTTGATTGGGTCGAATTGGGTCAACATTATCATTCCTCTTCCAACACCTAATCGCTGCGTTTCATAATCGCATTGTACACTAAACACTAAGCTACAGGTTTGGTAGATGGATCGGCGGAGCAATGGTATTGTTGATAAATTTGTGTATTCTTCACATTTGGCTGATTGCAGTTCGTGTGATATACCGTTGTCTTGATGAGGCAGTATACTCGGATCGATTCTGCACATGAGGCAATATACTCGGATCGATTCTGCACATGAGGCAATATACTCGGATCTTGATGAGGCAACATACGATACTTACACGACAAAAATGCGAATCCATTGAAGGTTACTGTCAGAAGACGAGCGTGATTTCTTCGGTATGTGCTCAAGGCAATAGCGATAGCTGCAATTGAACCGAACAACAACGCGAAAATCATCAGAGTGAGTACGGCTTTGTGCCAGCCTGCAAATGATCAAAATTTTTGGATAATCTGCAAGATTAAATACAACAATACAAGATCTGGCTGCAACTTTTGTTGAGTTTCAGCTAAACTCGAATAAATTCATCCAATTTATTATGCTAATGCATATGGTTATTTTGGGCCAAATGGAGTTAAACACACGCAAAAAAATAATTGTTCTGATACAATCGTACACAAAATGATCGATGTGAAAAAACTGGCGATAAATCATGAAAACAACACACATTTTGGCAATAAATCATTTCAGTNCTGCAAACGATCAAAATTTTTGGATGATCTGCAAGATTAAATACAACAATACAANCTAGATCTTTGGCAACCTGGAATCACCAATGATACTTTTTAAAACTGGCTGTGAAGCCTCGAACAATGGATAGCAATTTAGTGCAAAAGCTTGCGAGTTTCCTTGAAAAAGCCACAGTGATACACGCTCAGAAACCTCTTATGCTGTTTTCACAAGGATGTGATTCTGTTCATAGCCCGATTCTATCATTGAGCAAATGACCTTATCGCCCGGCAAAATACGCCTCTAGTCTTCTCCAGAGATCATTAGCAAGCGAATCAAAACAGCACTGTTACATTGCTCGATTACATCGAAAAAGTTTCAAGTGATACTGCCATTGTCAATTTCAAGACAAGACGAACCTGCCATGCCGGAGTGACCATAGCAATGAATGCTAGCAGATTACTGAAGCAGATTAACGCAAACGCGACAATCTGAGCCTTAACCAAACGATTCGACNTTCAATAACCAATGACTTTTCTCGGAAAACTGCAACTGGCAGAAGCATAAAGCTAACTGAACGCAGTGCTGACGCGATCGCTATGAGAAATTGATACCGTAGATCGTATCAATGCAGTCGCACGCAGAGTTTCACGTTTTTCAATGTGGCATCATAATTCGGGCATATAAAGCAAGTTTACCCTCAATACAACCTACTGCAAGATCCGTTAAATATCTCATGAAATAAATGGTTCCGTTTCTACGATTATCACCTGATTCAAGTGCAAATCTCACATCGTTTTTGAGAAGCAATTACAAANAAAAAACTGGTTGAAGGTGTCGAATGAATGAACGTCCTCGTAAAGGACGCGAAATTTACGAAGTTCATATGAAATCTTCTATGGATAGTTCTTTTGATATGCAAATGCGTGCACGTAGATAATACAGGTGACACATCGATCGGCAAAATGGAATGTGACGATTTGATTGACATACATTCCTCAAACAACAACAACACGCACACCATTAACTCGCAACATTCCACCTCACCGAACATCGATCCATCTAGATAATAATGGTTACAGGTTATGAAAATATATAACTGATCACGAGTGTGTTTTGCAATCACATTTTTAAATCTTCACTGCTCATGTTTTTAAATCACACACAGCAAATTCAAATTATGAACGGTTTGAAACTGCTAATTTTCAAACTTTCAACTGCAATAAGTAAAAGATTGTGAGAAGAATTCACGTTTCGTACAAATTATTCAGCTGAATATGAAGGGGTCATTTTGGTGAGTCTACATATTAGCTGATAGAAATAGTGCTTACAATTAGCTTGATTGAATCAACGATGTAGGTTTGTTACTTCGATGAGATCATATGATGATGACTACATGAGTGTCTGCTCAATTTTTTAGCGCAACTGTGTTTTCACACTCCACAATATCACGGATCAATTTCGAGTCACGGAATATATCAAAGATATCGGGATTGTTTGTCGTATGAAAACCCTTTTGCATCATCGATAATGCAGTCAAGGCAAATCTGCGACTAAGGTGAACGTAATCCAGATCGTTGATGGGAATGTTATAGCATGATTTTTCAATGGTAACATGCCACGTTCAATACTAGTAATGTGATCAGTTTTATACTAATATAGTGAAAAAAGCACTTGCTAAAGTTGCAATAAGCACTTATTATCATCACTACACCTAGCGATTACGATGCTTCCGATGTTATTCGAGAGGATGTAATCCCGTACGTTAGGCTGATCTGACGCAATCCGATTTGAATAAAGTAGTCAAGTGATGATTGGAAATTAACAAAATTACTAAATCAAATGACTTTCTCAATGGTTATTCCTCACACTGTTCTATTTATGGTAATTTTGGTGGAAAATATAAATGTCTAGCGAAATATTCGCAATCAAAAATTTGCAGTGAAACTCAAAGACATGCGTTCATTTTGATCTATGATCTATTTGGGATACCGCAGTTTCCAAATCTCATGACTAATTTCCAGACCCCGTGTCTTCCAAATTCGATCGAAAAATGCCTTGTCTGAAATAGACATACATATTCACATTTCCTCAACGAAGAACAATGTCATCCGACCTGGTTCAATATTTAAGGAGATAGTTAGAACTTGCTCCCAAATAAACTTTGCTTATGCTCATCATCTCGGAGTGAACTGATAAAATCTAGAAAAAGCATTGTGATGGCGCATCACTTAACTAAGATGAACTAAAAAAACTGTCAAATGAAAAATTCCCATCTGTCAGAAATCAGTTACACAACAAGTGATTTGCAGTTCCATGAAATTGATCATAGGTACAAACGACTACAACAAACATCGAAGGTTGTTTTTATGAAATCGGAAACAGTCGTCCGACAATCAACACTCTGTCGCAGTTCGACGACAGTTCACACCGATATTCGAAGCTTATCAGAATCCACTCTAGACAATGGATTCAATGACGTTGTAACGGGAGGGAATGAAACAAACGAAAACAGCCATAGAATCGAACATTTCGATGATGAATTAGCAAGAAAACTGTTGCGATTGGAACACGACGATTGAAGGAAATGTGTGTGATGAGTTGAACTGTTGATGTTGAATAAATTTCTTATGAATACGCATGGACGGCACTCAGGTTCGAGGGTGTTGATGTAAATTTGTTGATGCGTCGTATATTTTGTTTCGCGTGTGCTACTGCATCCTTCTTCGCCAGCAACACGTGATCAAGGCCATTTTCGTATTCGTCACGTTTGATGTCTCATCGATGTGTGATCGTAGCACAGCAGCAGCAGATGCCATGAATAAATCATGCAATCTTCACCGTATACTCTCTATAAAACAGTAACAATAATACCAAAACCAGTATTCACTGTACCACCCTCACTCACACCTGTAGCACACACACAAATTTCACTAATAATCTACATTAAAAGCTTTTTTTGTTCCAAAAACACGAAACATCAATTGCATAATTGATGATCGCTATTACCAATCGCAACATAACGTAGCAATTAGAGCTGATCAGAGACTGCAATTATGGACCTTTTGTACTTTTTTTCAGCAATATTCGTCGACAGTTATCATTTAAGTGATAAATTAGTGCCATTTCGCAGTTATCAAAAACGTGATAAAAGAGCAGCAACAGAAGAAATCGAGAAGAAAATGCTTGAGTCGGGATATTGGTTATGTGCAACGGCTAATGAGCAGCATTCCCATTTTACTGATCATTA